TCTTGCTATTTGATATACAGGATACACAGGTTAAAAAAATGGAACTGCGCAAGAATTCAGACATGCTGCCTATTGCAGGTTTATATTTCATAGTGACAGAGGAAGTTCAAATGACTTCTTTAGAAACTTTAAATTTGTTCTGGTACCAAATCCTGCTTTTCTGGGAATTAAAAATTTGATGAATTTCCTGACTTGATTAATACATCCAATCTTGCCTCTGTGGATCCTTCACAGAGAAAAATCTGTATTCAATTCACTGGCTCAGTAGTTGGAAATACCAGTGTCATAGAAGAACACTTTGGTAAAGTCAGAAACTACAGCATAGAAATCCCAATGTTTTCGTACTTTCTATACCTGAAATGATTCTATAATGCTGAACTACAGTGTTGTTTAAAGGTATAAGAACAAAGTCAGAAAGATGAAAGACCAAAAAGAAATGAGACTTGTAAAATGCTAAGGATAGTAAAAAGGACTGTTAAAGCTAAGCTAGAAACAACAAGAATCTGAAAGAAGAGATCTATCTATTGCTTAGGGGAGATGGTATGATCATAACATTAATACTCCCTTGCTCTTTTATCTTCTCTATTAATAGTTTAGAGACAAAAAATAATGTTTTTTTATGTTCAATGTTAAATTTGGGATTTTAGTTAAATTAGCTGAATAAAGAATAAGGGAGATAGGACATAATACAAGTACACATAAAGAAAAGCTAAAGCTTTTTATTTGAAAGTGAATACAGTATGAGTGAAAAATGTGATGGCTGCCAGAAAAGCTGATGTAACTTTAACTCCATTAATGAGACAGCAGTCTCAAGATAAGAGGAGGTAATGGGGCACTCAATATCATACTTGCCAGACCATATCTGGAATATTCTGCTGTTAGTTCTGCAGACACAATGAAGAGGAGTGTGAACAATGCTGGGTGGATTTTGATAAGAGAGACATGATGGTAACAGGTCTGGAAAGTATCATAAGAATCTATTAAAGAAACCAGAGATATATTTGGTCTGGAAGAGGGTAGACTAAGGAGAGGTGGTACTGTGAGGAACAAGTTAAATGCCTTTTTGATTTGAATAGCTGGCATATAGAACAGGCATTGGTCCCAGAGTACAGAATTAATGCATTTACATTTAAGGCTATATTAAAAACAAACAAACAAACTTGAATTGTTTACCTTGTGAAATAGTGAGATTCCTAAGACTGGAAAGTGTTCTAATGACTGCTATGATTTGTGAAGGAGTATATAGGTGGGATTTCTGCACCGAACTGGGTCATTGGAGTATAAAGCATTTCAAAAACCAGAGGTTTTTATGATTTCAAGCTAGGAGTTAGGGCTGGCAGTAGTAATATAGCTAATTAGAAAATATGGTTTAAGGTATGTTGGAAATGCTCTCCTGCCTTCCTTTCCTCAAAAAAATAATCCTCATTATAAAAAAAATTATTCTACTAGATATCTAGTCCATTAGGTCTTCCATACTTTTGAGTATTCAAAGAGACTGTTATTAAAATGCAAATGTCCCTGGAGGAAGCAATAACATATGGGAATTAGTTTGTTTACAGCTTGTTTACAGAAAGACAGGAATGAGAAAGGCAGCAAGAGTAAATAAGGTCCAAGTGGGCACAAATCTGTAGAAGACAAAATCCTCGTAGTAAAAGAACCAAACAATATTTCTTCAAGGTTCTCTTAGAGACGCAACAGATGACTAAGGCTGCAACTACGACTTCTATAAAGATATGGCCCAGTTTTCCAAGATCTGTATATCATTACAACATTTAATGAGTACATTTTCTGAAATGAGTCATTAATATAAAGCATTCAGTATTTATCAGTATAGAAATTTTCTGTATAACAGGTGCCTATGGGCATTTAAACAAATTGCTAAATTTCTAAAGATTCAATTTGTGGCAAGGTTTACCAAAAGCAAACTAGACTTTCATGTACAGTGTAACTTTGTATCATTAAACAAAATTAACTTTGGGGGTGGATTTTACTTAGTAAAATATACTATGTTATTATATATATTTTCATTTAATAATATTGTTAAATTACACAGACTTCAGATAGGGCATCAATGTAGCTTGAGCCAAGATTTTTCCCCTAGACATCATCATTGAAATTCCATGTATTTCCATTTGTCAATGATGCTAAATTAAATTCATATTTTCTATTCCCCAAACTGGTTACTCCTCCTCCTTGCTTTGCTATCCTCAGTAATAATGCTACTACCATTCTTCTCACTCTTCAAAGTGAAACCTTGTATCTTCTTTTCTACACCCCGTGTCCAAACAATTGCTGAGTCCTTTCACTGCAAGAAAGTGCTTCATATACCTCTTTCTATCCTATGGACATTACTTCAGTTCATACCCTAATTCTCTTTTACGTGTACTTCAATTTTTCATAATTGATACCTGTACTTCCAACCTCTCTCCTCATAAAAGCTCTCTAACACCCCGGGTACATGAGAACTTTTCCAAATGCATACATTCTTATCAAGTAGCTCCCTAGCCCAAACCCTTCAGTGACTCACTATGAAACTATAGAAAAAAAGCCTAAACTAATTAATAAGGCATTAAAATATTCTATTATGTGATGGCAATCTGTCTTTTCAGTTTTATCTCTGAGTACTTTTCCTTCTGGTCCTTATTCTCCAGTTAATCTATGGTACTATCCATTATCTAAGGATAGTCTCTGATTTCCAACAGCTTGAACGGCCTTCCTCAATTTTTTCTACAATTTTATCCATTTCTCAAGGTCCAGGCTTAAAGGTCTTTTCTTAATCAATCCATCAGTCCACCAATCATATCTCTCTCTCCCCTCCCCCATCCAGGCTTAAAAGTCTTTTCCTTTTCAATCAATCAATTAATCAATCTCTGTTTCTTTCTCTCTCTCTCTCTCATATTTATTTATTTTTCTTTTACTTATCCTCTGTTAAACATGAAGATAAGTTTGTGGAACACTCCTGCCCCATCCCCTTTACTGCATTATGCCTTACATCCTAAATTGGTTTTGTACATCTCTTCTTCCCCACTTAGGGTCAAGGGCAGTACTTAACTAACACTGCAATAGATCACAAGTGTTCTGTAATTGCATTTTGGTCTGATAAAAATCAAAATTATGCCTTGATTATATGACATTATTAGATATAGCAGGATTTAGTCTAGGGGTATTACTTTTAGCAGTTTGCAGCTGAGAAGGCTTATGTATGAGTTGCTACATGTCTAGCATCTGTTTGCATTTCTTCATGGAGATGGTGAGAACATTTGCCTCCTGAACAGTACAGCTCTTCTTTAGTGCAGACAACCCATTACACTGATTTCCATTATCTGAGCATTCTCTGTATTAACTGGGGCACATTTAGACTATTAGTCACAGCAACAGCCTTCCCTCCCCAATGCTCTGATGTCCTGTGGGATGCTGATCTGGGAGGGTTGGGGTAGAAGACAGGGAACATCTTTCACGACGCTCAGTGTCACTGAGCAGCACAGATGCCACAGGCTACTTACCGACAGTATGGCCCTTTACTCCTAACTGCCAAGAAACATTCTGTCTGGGCAACCACTTCACCAAGGAGGCCACTTCCTGGAGACTCAGGGGTAATTCCTGATTAAGCTACTCATGATGATAGCATTCTCCTCCCTAGGCACCTCTCTGGGGATATGTGACTGAATTCTGGTCAATGGGATACAAAAGGAAATTTGCTAAAGTGACTTCATTCTTGAAAAAAGACACAAATCTATTTGCCTTTTGTTGTGTCTGAAGGTGATATTTGGAACCATGGCTGTTGTCTTGCAACTCTACCAGGTGCCATTGTTGTGTCTGAAGGTGACATTTGGAACCATGGCTGTTGTCTTGCAACTCTACCAGGTGCCAGCCTTTGGACACTGCTGGCACCCTGAGAGTTAAAAGCAGAAAGGCCAATGGACCAGGGAACTTGATGATATTGTCATAGTGCTGGGGTCCCCCTACCTCAGGGCTTTCATTGTTTGGCAAAATGCATTTTCCTTATTGTTTGAGCCAGTCAAAAAGGGGGTTTCTCTTACTGTAGCTAGAGACACGCTGACGCGTAGGACTTTAGGTTGGCATCCGGCATCTCACTCAGGTGGCTGACATTAATCATTGTTAGGGCTTCAGGGGAAGAACACATTATTTCTACTGCCTGTTTAAAAATCTGTGCTGGTTTGTTGCTAGATCCTGAATCTGTCACTTTTTTCCATGGATTGGGTAAGCCATAATCTCTTTAAAATACACAGCAGGTTTCACTTTGTCACAATGATCATGCTTACAATTATTAATGTTTGTCTTCTTCACTAGTTTAAAAGCTCAATGAGGGCAGTGACTGAATCTGCCAGGAAAATTCCTGTACTTCCAGCACCTAGCACAGGGCTGGCATGCAGGTGTTCAGTAGATAGATGCTTAGTAAATATCTGTGAAATGAATGAATGGATGAGTAAATGAATGTTCAGACGATATCAAAACATTCTCCCTATTATTTCCTTTGCTTCCACCTCCCATGCCCTGATTCCTTACCAATTCAGGCCCACAAAAGTGAGCTATGTCTTGTATTTTAGGAGACGGGAAAAAGAAAGGGGAAGGAAGCTATCTTTACAGCTACTGTCTACTTGCTCACTCAGTGGAGAGGGGGAAAGGAGACAATTCTCAGGGGCAACTTACAAAATATTTTCATAAAGAGAAACAACAATTATCTCCTTTACTATTAATAGTATATTAATAGTATATTAATCCTATACTACATATTGGATTAAAATATTACTTAAGAAAATGTTAAAAATCATACTTTTTAGAGCCAGAATGGAGTTTAGGGTTAACTTAGTGTAACTGAATTAAGCAAAGATTTATCAACTATTTTAAGTCCCTCATTTTTCAGATGAAGAAACTGAGAGCTACCGTCACCAAGATCAGCATTAGTTTTTCTGACGCTCTATAATGCAATAAAAAAACTGAATGCAGACAGTCATACTCATTCGCAACAAAAAGGATATTTTCCTGGCACTGTCGTTCCAAGTCGGTAATCAGTGTAGCTGTTGCTTGGATGAAAGTTGAAAACAAAAAGAAGGCCTGCTCTCTCAAAAGCAATGATCTTATTGGTTTCATGCTCTTCACTAACATGAGCCTGCAAGAATTAAAACACATAATACATTTAAATAATACCCAGATGCTGCTAGAAGTAAATTCTTTACAAAAAAGTTGTTTTTGTCTTTATTAACAGTCTTGTTAGTTATTAAGCCAAAAATGAAAATTCTAGCATGTTATATTTTTTGAACATGTTGCAATCATGCCCTATCAAACTCTAGGCCAACAGCAGTCTCAAAAAATTGCTTAAGGAGTATAAAAGCTCACCAGCAACTTGCCAACTTCAAACAAAGCACAGACAGAGGATTAGGGTTTTGGCTTAGGTTTTAGCTAAAAATATAGCACCTGTGCTATACATAAAGCATCTGTGTGTGTGTATTAGATCTACTTATAAGTGAATTTTCTTTAAGACTTTTGTTTTAGTCCTTAATGAGGTAAGGTATATAAAATTACTTTTCAAAATATGATGTAACATTGTTATTATATCCAGATTTCTGAAGTTGTAGTTTTCTTAAAAACTTTACATTATTTCACGACTTTGTCAGATTCAAAAACAACCAAGAGTCCTTCACAGTATACTTTTTTTTTTGCCTAATAATAGAGAAAGTCTGAAAAGGAATTACAACATCTACAAGCTCTCTTATTTTATACACCACATTTTACAGTAGGTAGTGAGAAGGCTTTGTTTTCTCAATCCTACCCTCTTCCAGCCCCAGCTTTGATAGGACTTATTTCCATGCACGTCAGCAGCGCCACTCTTGGTAATTTAGAAATGTGAGCTAAGGCTCTAGAGCAAACAGCATGCCTTTTGGTATTCAACATTGTTCCTATTGAAAAGGCGCATCATTTTGCTCTCTCTTCTGGAAACAGCACTACTAATAAATGCGATTAGGGCATTTGTGTCATGTAGCCAATCTTACTGAAAATATAAGTACCTTTGTCCAACCATTAAAAAAAAAATCAGAGACACCAAAGTAAAAACACATCAACAGTAATTTCAAACAGCACCAGTAGAAAGTAAATGGATTATAAGTAACACGTATTATATGCTAATTTTTGCAAGGGAAAAAAAAAAACACTGTATAAAATCTGAACCTGTTAATTACATTTTCTAAAACTTATTGAAAACTGAGACTTTAATTCCAGAGGAGAGTCAGGCTCATGAAAAATACAAAACAGCATGGAGGTATAATGGCATCTATTGAAATGACAAGTTAGAGACCAGTAAAGGAAGGAAAAAAAAAGAATAAAGAAATCTCCATGTTGTCAAAGCAGTTTCTTTATGACAGCATAATTATTTATGTAAAGAAAAACAGTCAAAACAATTAAGATATTTTCACAGCAATTTCCAAAGTGGATGCCATGCAGAGCTTTTGTCATTTATTTTAACCAATTGAAATAAAAATTACTAAATTTAAACAACAACGACAAGCTAACCACGAATGTAAGCAGGGAATTATGTTTAAGATTTTCATTGTCTATTGGGGAGACTTCAGTAACATGTTTTGACAACCTGAAGTATGTCACAGGGCACTACACACTGAATAATAAAATGCTGTTTAAAAGATCTGCATATAGATTTAAATCAATTGCCATTCTAAGCATGTACAACACTGGTGACTAAAACATAACATTTAGAGTAAAGAGCTTACCTGTGGAGCTGAAAGCCAATGACATCTTTCTTCCAATTTATTCATATCCCTGTCAAAGTTATTTAGGAACTTATAGCGGAGAAGGTCATCATCAGTTAAATGAAACTGCCTTCTTGCATAATGGTAGCTCTCATTATTTCCTTTCCTTGGGAAGTCTAACCATTCAGGATGCCCAAATTCATTACCTGCAGTTGAAAACAAACATAAACATCACCTGGTAATATTAGCATTTCTTATTAAGATGACTCAATAATTGTATGTTTTAAAGTCTTTGAAATCAGTTTAGGTTATAGTTTACTATAGCTGTGCCCTATAAATGATGCACAACCCTGGCTTAGAAACAGCATAGTCTAGCATGCAGTACCGGCAGCATTTGGACTCAAAAGCCCAGGGCACAGTTTTAGCCTGGTCACACATTCCTTGTTCTACATCTCATTTTCCTCATGCACAAACTGAGAACAGTATCTCTGTCATACTTATTTCATCTCTGAAATAATCTCTGAAATCTCAGAGTAATTTTTGAGATCTCTATTTCTATAATCTCTGAAATCTGTACAACGCTTTGCAATTTCCAAAGGCTGTATGTACATTATTTTTTGATCCTCGAAGGAACTCTCTATTATATCCATTTCACAGATGAGAAATCCAAAACTCTAGACAGTTAAGGGATTTGCCCAACCTCACATGGATAATAACTAGAAAAGCAACCATTAAAATTTAGTTCTTCTCATTAAAATCCAAAGTTCTTTCTACCTCATCACATCAGGCAAGTACGTTTTAAACTTCAGGTGCTACAGAAACCCAAGTCATCACTTTTATTATTCATTTTCCCCATCCCTTTCTCAGATCCATGTGCCACCATTAGATGTATATCTTTAATTTAAATGTGTGTGTGTGTGTGTGTGTGTGTGTGTACGGCTGGGACACTTCGTTGGGAACCCATTTGATATTATTTCTCATTATAATGATGAGAACCAGAAACCTGATACACTTTAAACATGAAATAAAATAATAACACCTACATATTATACATTCTTCCTTCTGAAAATCAAATTTAGATATTAGTGGTCTAATAGAATGGCTCCTATTGTTTTCCCTGGGTTAGATTTCTATTTTATGGCTTCTTTTTTTTCTCCTAAAAATTAAACACTACTTTCCAAAATTTACTTACATTTGCCACTTTAATGCTGCAATTTTCTAAGCCACAGGTTTCTCCTTTGAGTTGGAAAGTACCGTAGCTGATACAAGTGTGTCCTACTTTAAAGTAAATAGTTGCTAAGTGAAATAAGTCAGACAGAAAAAGACAAATACCGTATGATCTAACTGATATGTGGAGTCTAAAAACAACAATAACAACAACCAACCAGCAAACAAAAAACAAGCGCATGGAGACAGAAAACAGGCCAGTAGTTGCCTGAGGTAGGGGTGGGGGGTTGGGCAAATGGGTGAAGAGGGTCAAAAGACATAAATTTCCAGTTATAAAATAAAAATTAAAAAATATGGGGATGTAATGTACAGCATGGTGACTATAGTTGATAATACGGCATCGCATATTTGAAAGTTAGCTAGGAGAGAGGATCTTGAGAGTTGTCATCACAAGAAAAAAAAATTTTTGTAACTATGTAGGGTGATGGATCTTAACTGGACTGACTGGATGATCATTTTGCAATATATACAAATACTGAGTCATTGTGTTGTACATCTGAAACTAATGTAATGTTATGTCAGTTATACTTCAATAAAAAAGAAAGGCAGAAAAGAAGCTAGCATATTAATATTCTAATAAATAAAAACTAACAAGCTATGATGTAATTCAAAATGATTTACTGTAGAGTTGCTTTAAGTGGTAAACTCTACTAAGAAACACTGCAATTTACATTTAACTTTTCAGGACTATAGTCATCAAAATAAAAATAACATCCAAATATATCTGTAGCAGCTTCATAAAAATTACAGTGTCTGCAAAACTTTTCCTTAATTCGAGTATTTCAGTCTAAACAATACTTCTTATATTGTTGTCTGCTATGTGACAGAGGAGGGAACCAGATTTCTAACTCTGCGGGCCTTTATTTACTTTATGGTGTCTTAAAGTGATACAGGAACTTCCCTCTGCTACATTTAGGAGTCCTGCCTAGGTCTGGAGCCTGATTCACATCAGCCCATAGTGAACCCATGGCATAGCTTGCTCCATCATCCATTCAACCAGCAAAAAGATGCACCTCCAGAATTGTAGTCCAGCATATTCATTGCTGATACTGAAGGTACTGTCTGGAGAAAATTATATGTCCTAGTACTAGTGGGATTTCAACTAGTTGGGAATTTAGGATACCAGAAATGCCATAGGGTAGCTAAAGTATAGTAGCCTACAAACCAGATCCAAGCTCTCTATAGGCAAAATACTTTTATTTTGGTATGACCATGAATCTCTGAGTTGACTCCAGTATTAATAAGCAATTTCTTTAGCCTTTCTGGGGGAAGATTGTTATATCACTGCCACCATGATTATCATAGTATAATCAGCAACAAAAGCTTAATGTTGGCTTATTATTTGCCAGGCACTATTCTAAGCATTACACATGAATTAATTCCTTTCATTTTCAACAACCCTGAAGTAGTTACTATTATTGTCCCAGTTTTATAGGTAAGGAAACTGAGGCACAGAGAGTTATTAAGTAGTGGGGCCTATTAGCCCAGACAGTTTGATTTTAGCACCTTCACCCTTGGTTACCACTCTCCCGTATTGCTTAGAAGCAGATACCATGGAAATATAGTGCAAACATTGACCAAATTCTCATATGTGGACAGAGATTCCAAGATAATGGAATGATGTGCAAATGTGTTGAGTGAGAAGGTGAGATGTAGTAAGGAGTTTGGTTTAGCCATGAAATAGGGCTTGTGGTAAGGAGAAGAGGTGAGACAGGCAGGATGAAGCTAGGTTAGGATGGGCCTTACAATCTTTAAACCTTAAGCTACTTTTAAGTAGGGGGATGCAAAGCTCAAATGTGTTTTTATTAAAGTATCTCTGGTAAATACAATGTGGAGGAGACACTGGATATTGGAAATATCTGAATGGTAGGAAAGCTAACATGGAATTCAAAGTATAAGATAAGAAATAACCAGGGGAGTTCCCTGGTGGTCTAGTGGACTCTGTGCCTTCCCTGCCAAGGGCCCAGTTTTGATCCCTGGTTGGGGAACTAAGATCCCACTAGCCGCACTGCGTGGCCAAAAAAAAAAAAAGAGAGATGACCAGATGCAGTGGGAATGGAGAAAAGAATGGCATTTTTGAGGTGGAAATAACAGGATTTGATGACTGCCTGCTGCATGGATTTTAGTTCCAATGAGGACATTTATGAGAAACATGAATTTAGGCAATTGAATCTCTCCGGGACACAGTTTCCTCATCTGTAAAATAGGATAACAAGTTTCATAAAAGCTCTTTTAAGGTTCAAACGAGGTACGTTAAGGCACTTGGTACAGGGTCCGGCGGCTAAAGCTTTCAATGTTTGGCAGCTTTTACATTACACACTCATTTCTGATGCTGCTCAGAAAAGAATGACATAAAAGCCAATAAGTGAGAGTTACTATAAACCTAAAATTTCTGGCTCCCATCATTCTGAGGAGGGAACTAACCAGCCCAACTCTGCAGCAGACACACAAGCAACCAGGATGAATTCAAGGCAGCTATTTGGCTCTTCTTCACTTGGTTTCATGGTACAACATTATTCTTCTCTTTAAAGTGTGGAAATTCTATGCCAATGAGTTTATTCGTATATTTTATAATACAAACACATTTCCCTAAGCCAAGTATTAATGTTCTTTGAATTATCTATTTTAGATCTTAAAAGGCAGAATTGACTGTGAAAGTAATTTTGCTACAAGACACCCAGATTGATAGGGCAAATCAGGTTGCTATGTTAGGAATCCCCTCTCTACACTCTTCCTTCATTATTCCTACTACATGTTCATCCTGCAACCCCTGAACAAGCTCTCAGGGGTTATTTATAGTTATACTATATATTATATACACACATATATGCTATATATTGTATATATTATGCTATATAATATATATTTTTATAGTATATATATATAGTATACAGATGATTCTATTCCACCTAAGTTGAAATTTAATCCTCAGTATGATGGTCTTAGGATGTGGGACCTTTGGAAGGTGTTTATTTCATGCGGGTAGAGCCCTTATGAAAGTGATTAGCACTTTTATAAATACGAGACTCCACTGAGCTCCCTTTCTCCTTCCCCCACAAAAAGATATCACTAGAAGTCTATGACCTGGAAAAGGTCCCTCTCTCAACCATGCTGGCACTCTGATCTCAGACCCCCAGTCTCCAGAAATTGTGAGAAATAAACTTTTATTGTTTATAAGCTACCTGGTCTTTGGCATTTCATTATAGCAGCCCAAGCGAAATGACATCACTGTTCCCCTGTTGATAAATATTTTATTTATTTTTATTTATATCTATAGCAATAGCTATATATATCTCTCTATCTATATCCATACCTATACTTATATACATATCCATCTATCTATTTATCTATCTTACCTACCTACCTACCTACTTAACAACTAGTTTTTGAAAAAAGGTAGGTATATTATATATTATTTTGAATTTTAATATAAACACTTTCCATGTTAATAAGTATATTATCACCATGACGGTATTCCATTTTGTGCATAAAATGCAATTTTATTTAACTATTTTCCTCATGTTAGTCATTTTGGCTTTTTCTAATATTCTAGCATTATAAAAAAAAGACCAGTCTTATAAATGCATCTCTGTACACTTGTCTGATATTTCCCTAACATCAACTGAATAAGTAAAATACTGGTTCAAAAGGTAAATAGCAGATAGGATTCTAAGAGAAAACATTTCCCATGTTTTGAACATTGCTAATTATTTGAAGACACAGGCACAAGGTAGTAAATTGTTTCTCAAAATAATGTTTAACACACACACAAATTATATTCCTTAATGTATATGTTTAAGTTTCTACTTTAAAAGTACTCTTTATTAGTTAAATATAAGACTTCATTTTAGTGCCTTCTAACATACATTGATTTTAAACATTCATTTATCTTTTCAATAACATCTAAAACTATTAACTATTAAGAAGAAAATTTATCACATGAGGGCAAATTAAGTACTTGGAAAAAATATAAGAAAAA